CCTCCGTCGCTCCAAAGACGACCCCACAGGCCTCCAAGATCGCCCCAGGCGTCGTGCTTAGCATTGAGCGCCGAGCACCCCCGACCATGCGCACGTCCAGGGTGCTGCGGGTGCTGCACTGGACCGCCAAAATTCTGGACGGGCCACGCGGCCCGCTCATCTCTCGTCCGTGTGGGGCACTGCACCTTCGGCTTCGAGGATCTTTGTTTTATCCGTGACAAGACGACCGACCAAAGCCGCAAGACCCTAAGAGAACTCCGGAGATCGTGATGTCGAAGACAACACGCGCGAAGGAGAAATACCTGTCGAAAGGCTGTTTGAAACGTTCGGAAACGTTGCGCCGGAGCTGGACCCGCCCCAGACACACCTGTCGGCTCCGAGGACCCCTCGACACTTCGTCGATGCCATCGCCCTCCGACTCTTTGCAGCAGTGCGGGGGCGCAGGTGCGGCGGCGGCGGCCCTCGACAGGGCAGCGCCAAGGACCGGAGGGGAGGCGGATCGCGGACACCTCTCGGAGTGTCGAGAGAAGAGCTCTTGACGACCTCTGGCGATCTTTGGTGGGCGGTGTGGCGGATGCTTCGGGGGGGTGTCCAGAGGGGACATACAGTGGGGGCCCGACTCGACCACAATAGACCTTCCACAAGAAACCCGACCCTGAGACCCCGGGGCGTCCATTCATTTTTGCTGTGCGAACGCGGCGACGACCTCTCTGGTGGCGACCCCTCCCTGGCACGGCCCAGCCCGAGCAGCGCCAAAGGGGCGTCACCACCGGCCCGCTGGGAAGTGCCCGGCGGTCAGCGCCACCGCGGCCGCGTCGGTAGCGCCGAATGATCTGGTCGCTGCGCGCGCGAGCATGCGCGGGTCGAGGACACGGATCCCCCAGGAACCCCAACCCCCAGGGATCCCGAAGACGCCCAGCGACCTGAAACGTCTAAAACCTCCGCGATGCTTCATATCCTCCTTCCTCCTCGGCCCCCGATGTCTGGGAGGAGCGGGCGGCCCCCCCGGTGGTGAGCCCCCTTGGCACTCCCCGACCCAGCCTCGAGTCGATGTCGAGCCCCAGCGACGCGTGATAGCGCCAATCTGTGCTTGCCCGCAGATGCCCCCTGGTACAACGCAGGCGGCGCAGTGAGGGCAGACACAGGCTGTGTGCTATCGGTGAAGCTGAACGAGGTAAACGCACATCAGGCGAACGCACGTCCTGAGAATCCTCGGATCGACTCCCGGGATGCCGCGTTCGGGCACGGGTTGCACGAACAGAAACTGCCCGCGGCGACAAGCTTAGCCACGGGGATGGTGTCCGTCAGTTCAGGGGGCCCACGTCGAGACCAAGCCAAGCCATGAGTCAGAGGTCAAGGCAGGAGCGGGGGGGGGGCAGGAGCTACCAAAAGGGCCCTCAAGAGGCCCAACAGCGAGCAAGATGACCGAAGACCGCCGGGTCACTGAGGTTGACCATCTTTCTGGTGTTTGCCAATGGTTTTTGCAGCTGGTGCTAAACATTTTGTAGCCTTCTGGAGGGTATGCCCAGCGCCTCCTGTTCCCCCCCCTCGCCCCGGCCCTAGGTGTGGCAAGCCCCCGACCACGGGCCTGATGTTTAGAACTCCCATGCTGTCGAGAATCAGGTTGCACTCGGCGTCGTCGACCACCTCCCCGGTGTGGAACGTGACCGGGAGCTCCACGAATGCCTCTCTCCGCTCCAGCATTGCGGGGATCACGTAGGGGACCACCGTGGGCTTCGCAGGATTCCCACAGACGTCCATACCGACCACAAAGTCCTGAGGTTCCCCGAACAGCGCTTGCACGCGGGCGGGCATGCGCTCTCGACGTCGACGTTGTGCAATGGTGAAATCAACGAGCACGAGGGATTGGGGCCCCTCCGGCACCCCTATCTGGCCGAAATCGGCGCGCTCCCCTAAAACACCGACCGCGGCATTTCAATGTGAATGAAATCGGTAGAACGTTCGGCCAGCGCCCGTGCATACAAATTACACGTTATAATGCTGGGGAGTCCTTAAACTCCTGGCTCAAGGCCACGATGTCGTCAATCTGGCTGAGAGCATCCTCCTTGCACGAGACTTTGCCTCGATCCACGCTCAGCAAAAGCTTGATCTCCATTACGAACCCGAAGCGTTCTTTCGCATACGACTGAAACTCGTCCACGGCGCTCTTGACTGCCGCCACGTAGTCACTTTTACTAGTGCGGGCCTGTTCACTACCATCACTTGCATCTGCGACAGTGGGGAGCGGCAAAAACGATGCCTACCCGCCTGTCAGTAAAAGGTGAAAGGGGAAAAGAGGAAGAAGGAGGAAGTGGGGAGGAAGGACAAGCCAGGTGCGCCGGCGCCATGTCTGACGTCCTACCCCTTACCCTTCTTTATGTGGCGACATCCGAACCCTACCCCCACCAACCATCGATTCTCCTGAATCGATGGGAACCGGGGGTATGGCTAGGATTTCGCCACGTGTTCGACGACGACGAAGTCCGAACCCTGCCCCCGCCGCCCATCGAGTTGCCTGAATCGTTGATCGGAGAGGGTAGGCTGCAGATTTCGCCGCCGATTCTTCCAGCGTGATCCACCTACAGTCATCGGCCTGACCTAAGGAACGAGAAATAAGGAACGAAGCCCCTGTTTTCCAAGGAAATAAGCATAAGGAACGATAGTTAATACAAAAAAAACGCATAAGGAACGATACGTAACGCATGCAAGGCTTAAGGAACGACCGAGCCCCTTTTGAAAAGGAAGTGTTCCTTACTCAAGCCGCTCACTGTATCCCTATTCGTCGATCCTTGATCGGCGGCGAGCCCTGGTGGGAGTGAGAAGGGGCGGGCCCTCACAGAGGGCTCGGGAAGCCCCCGGCCTTCCGAGACTCGGGAGCGGCCAAGAGGGGGGTGTCCAAGGGGGGGGGGGCGCAAATCATCACCAGCGGCATGTGCGCCGCCCAGCGGGGGGCCAGAGACGTAATGAAATAAGAAGAGGCGCCATGAAATCTGGGGAAATATCATGGCCCCCGCCATGATATCCCCCCCCCCCTAGTCATCACCCCCCTCTTTTCCGCCCCCGAGAGACGTGTGCCAAACCTCCCCCGAAGGCGCGGAAAAACCTTCCCAGGAGGCGCGAGGGCCTCCGGAGAAGCCGCGCCGCCTTCCGAGGAGCCCTGCTCGTTTTCGCTGCCCCGCCCCTAGCGTGCCGCCGACGGGAGGCTCGAACAAAAGGCGCGGGACGGTGGTGACGGGGGATGGCGAGAGGAAGGGGGTGACCGAAATCGGGGGAGAGCCCTGAATGGGCCCTTGAGGGCTCCGTTGGGAGCCAGAAGGATCCCAAAAGGGGGCCCTCAAGGGCCCCGTGAGGGCCCTCTTCTTCAACCCCCATTCAGGCCACCCCCCAACGCAGTCTTGGACATCCAGTCCTCCTACGGCGCTGCAGAATGGAGCAGCCTCGTATATGACGCGCTGAAGCTGGATTTCCCCGCCACCATCTTGGGCTTGGCGCTACAGCTGTATACAGTAGGGAACCGACCACAAGAGACCTTCCGCCAGAAACCCAACCCTGAGAACCCAGGACGTCCATCGATTCTTGATGTGGGAACGTCCCGCTCCCCATCGCAAGACCATTGAAACCCAAGAAGCCTAGGGCATCCTGGAGGCAAGCAGGGTGTTTCTTGGCATGGGTCCCCACTGCACAGCACCTCGCACCCTTTTTCCCAGCTTGGCGCAAGCTCGTGAGCGAGCGGGCCTGGCCGCTCGATCGTCCCCGGGGGGCAGGATGTGCCCAGGTTCGACAGGGAATGGGAACCATCAGCCAATGCGGGGTGCCCTCAGCTAATGCGGGATGACGATTAATAAAAAATGGGAGGGAACGATTAAAAAAATAGTTTTCTGCGAGTTCTGCACAAGTTTCTGACTGGAGGAGAACGATTCCTCAAAACAAAACAAATCCGACGATTAAAAGCAAAAAAACAAGTTGTCCAGCCCGCGGCCGTTTTTCTCTAAGCGTCATCCCGGGCACCGCCGCATTAACACGACCCCCGGTCATTTATTGATCGTCATCCTCCATTGCAGATTCGAATTTGGATTGATGCTCTCAGTGAGTCGGCAGCTGAATCAGAGAAGCAGGTCAACCGTACGATGATCAAAGGAGTCACAGACACATACAACCGATTGGCAGAGGAAAATCTCTCAGAGGCTAGCAAGAGTGTCCTGCAAGGCCGATCACAGCCGTGCTGCGCCGACGAGGGTTCCACCTCAAACCGTTGCTGCATGCGGTCCACCTCGGCGTCGACCGTGGTGCTGGGAAGCGCGCGGCGAGGGCTACGCGGGGACAACGTATCATCAAGGCTGGTTCTCGGACACGGCGTATTTCCAAGTGGACGAGAGCCAGTCGGCAGGATGTAGTTACGGCGAAGGTCGGGAAAGTGGCAGGACAGACAGTTGCGCATTATGGGCATTCTGTACATGGTATGTTCGGAGCTGGCATGCTTCAAACACGACGACGCTTGGGATCTGTATGTGGAGCTGCTCGCAAAGGGCGTTGTCTCACGACGACGCTGGACACTCAAGCTCCAGAGCAGGATCCTGCAGTGCGTCTGGGGCGAGAGTGTATGTTCGAGTGGCTTCGCCGATGGACCTCCGCCTGGGATGTGCGCACAGCAGCGCACAGAGTGTGGAGGTGGTGTTGTGTCCAAACTGTCAGGTATGCAACCTTCGGAGCATACGTATGTAGTGTACGAAATACGTCTATGTATATCCACATACATACATACATACATACAAACATACATACCTACATACGTACGTACAAACATACGTACGTACATACGTACGTACATACATACATGCATACCTACATACATACACATACACATACATACATACATACAGACAGACAGACAGACAAACAGACAGACAGACAGACAGACAGACAGACAGACAGACAGACAGACAGACAGACATACATATATACCGGCATATAGAGATACATACATACATGCATGCATACAAACATACCGACAGGCAGGCATACGAACCTACATGCATAGATAAATACATGCATGCATACATACATACATGCATACCTGAGCGCAGTTGTGACTCTTTTGCTTCAGTATGGCTGGGAGCCCCCTAGCCCATCACACTGGCAGCTGCGCGACTCCGACGACACCAGCCAGGTTGACATCGAATGGCATGTTTCGGATGAGCACTTGACGGGACAAGAAGAATTTTCAGATCTCCTGTACGATGTGATGGAGTCTATTCGTCGGAAGTTGTAGCGCGAAGCTGCAACACATTACGCAGGGGATGGAATGGAGATGGGCATTGACAACACGTCGTCGCGACTTATGCTGGAGCGACTTCGGAATGCCTCCAAGGGTGTGCCTTGGGCTGAGCCCATGCGGGCGATAGCAGTTGGAGGCACTTGGCCGAGGACTCGTTTTGAGGGCATTGATGAGGAACACCAGTTTTGCATCAGATGTCTGAGCAATGGAGAGAGGCATCGCGAGACCCTTCTCCACATATGCTGGACGCGCCCGCAGAACCAAGGACATCAGGCGTACGCGCAATCTGATCGTTACCTTGGTGAAGCGGTGTCGCAGCATGAGCAATTCGAGCGCTTCTGGCTTCGAGGGCTCATCCCGCAGTCATGGTTTACAGTCCCAGCGCCAGTGGCAACAGAAGAATGGACGTTTACCGAGTCAGAGTTCGAGGGCGACGGTGTGAGCCCTTTAGCCATCGGTGAAGAAGAGCGACCTGTCCTTGCATGTGGAGACGCGTCAGGAGGTGCGGACACGCACGGGCCGAGGTTTCGTAGAGTAGGAATGGGCTTTACTCTCGTGGGTGAATCGGAGCCAATGTTGCCTGGCTGGGGAAGTAAGAGTCCGTTGCCAGGCAGACGGCTGACCTCTACCGGAGGGAGCTTGCAGTTTTTGAATACATTATCAGGCGAACCCGAGGACCGCTGACCCACGTCACGGGCAATGAGGCGGTGATAACAGGGTTCGCAGCACGTCTGTATCTTACGCCCCGTGAAGCAGCGTGCGAAGTTGACTTGTGGGGATGGATCGGCGGCATGTTGAAAGGAACTCGAGGCCCAGGAGAGGTCATGGTACGCTTCATGAAGTCACGCCTCTCTGAGGAGGAAGCCCTAGAAAACGCTATCGCTCTTTGGATATATCGCGGTAATGATCGTGCAGATGAGCTGGCAGCAGACGCGGCAAGTGGAGCCCGACTAGGACAAGAGCATCGAGTTCGAATGGAACCGAAAGAGCAACGGGCTGAGTTGGTGCGCAGACGTTTGCTGCGCTCCACGATGAATTGTGTCGCGGCAGACCCGCGACCGCGGAGTGAGACTGAAAAAGGTGCTCGCCTGTGTCCGCCTGCCCCTGCCACGGTCGCCAGGTTTTGTACGGAGCACTCGTTGAGGGACAGTGGTCGCTCATGCAATGTGTGCCACGGCTCTGCATCGCGAGACAAACCTAAAGACTGGCTGAAGTCTCCTTGCAGTGAAGTCCTGTAGACGGTGCCCTGAGCAGAATCCCTAAACGTTTTAAGGTCCACTGTGCTGGGGGTGGTTGCACTCCATACGTAACCCTAGGTTTCATCGTCTGTGGGGTGTGCGGTTGTTTCGCCTCCTAGCTGCTTAAGAACCTCGGGAAGCCATGCTCGGAGCAGCTCGGTAAGACTGGCAAGGAGTATTTGACCAGGATCGGTGATGGGCTCTGGCTAAAGGTGCACTCATTGTCGGAGCAACGAGTCTGAGGTCTTCTCCCACCGTAATTTGTTGTTCGCTTCACGAACTCACCATTTCCAGTTCCATTTCCTCCTCCTCCTCCTCCTCCTCCTCCTCCTCCGTCTCCTCCTCCTCCCCCTCCTCCTCCTCCTCCTCCACCTTCTTCCCCCCCTCGCTCGCCGCCGAGTTGATCAATCTTCGCGAGCCCAGGTGTCGAAGCTGACTCCCGATCCCTGAAACTCGCGACCGCAGGGAGAGCACGGCCAGGGGCCAGGCGAGAGAAGGGAAGAGGAGGAATAGGAGGAGGAGGAGGAGGAGGAGGAGGGGGAGGAGGAGGAGGAGGAGAAGAAGCAGGAGGAGGAGGACGAGGAGAAGGAGGAGGAGGAGCATGAGGAGGGAGGGAGCATGAGAACGAGGAGGAGGAGGAGAAGGAGGAGAAGGAGCAGGGGGAACAGGGGGAGGAAAAGGAGAAAGAGGACGCGGAGGAGGAGGAGAACGAGGAGGAGGAGGAGCAGGACGGTGAGCAGGAGAGCATGACCAGGAGGAGGAGGAGGAGGAGGAGGAGGAGGAGGAGAAGGACCAGGGTGGGGGGAACAGGAGAAGGACCACGGCGGTCAGCACACTTTTGCTGTCTGGCCCCCCACATAGGGAACGTCTTCACCGTCGTGCGCAGCTCGAGGTACACGCAGTTCTCCGCGGCGAAGCCGTCGAATCCGCCGGGGGGAGCCGAGCCCCAAGCAGCGGGGGCAGGACGAGCACAGAGCAGAAGAGGCA